GTTGGGCGTCCCAAGCTGGACGGTCCTCTGCTAATCTGTAGTTTGCGCTCGAAGGCTCGGGCTAAATTCATTGTTGTGACCAGGTTAGGCGGGCTCTTCATCTCTACGTCAACTCGCAGAGTTTCGGATAGGCCAGCTGTGAACATATCCACCTGCTGGTCTGGGCGAACTGAAGAGGCTCTGGCGAGAAGGGTCTGAAACTGCCACTGATATTCTGCTACGGTTCCTGTCTGCTTGAGGTTAATGAGTTCCCCCAAGGGGTTGCTTGTTAATGGGGGTTCGAATCGAAGGAGGCAGTACGACTTGAACTGCTCCCAACTAAGGCCTGGTTCTTCCTGCTCTACTCGGTAGAACCAAAGCTGCGCTTCTTCGGTTAGGTGGAATGCGGCCAGGCTGACCTTGTCCTTCTCCTCCGTGCGCTGATTACGAAAGAATTGCTCACAGCGGTACAGCCATCCCAGTGGGTCACCGCTGTCGCTGTACGAGGGAAACTCCAAACGACTGTATTTGGGTATGACTGCTGCAGCTGGGGTGGCGTTCTATTGTTCACCGGAGCCTTCGGCCTGATCGGGACGACGGCTGTGGTTGGTGGCCGCCTCTTCAGGACTCCTTTCTCTGGTGGCGAAGTATAACTCTAGTAGACGCCGAAGCTCCCTGACATCCTCCTTGACTTCTCTTACTTCTGCGTGATTTTCCACGAGTCGGTGTTCCAGTTTGTGGACCTTGGATGACAGCTGCTCCATGTCGCCCATGACGCTTGGCTCTGATACCAAAATGTTATGGGCCCGCGCGTAGGATCTCGTCACGGGGCGGTCCACGGGGAAAACTCCTAGCCTTCCCTTGCCCTTTCCTTTGCGTGCTGACCCTATTGTGGCGAACTAGGGGGTGATTTGTCCAAGAGATCACCCTAACTCTCCCAAGCTCTTCTCTTGATCGAAAATTCAATGCCTTTTCATTAATTCGTGGCTCCTTAAATAGGAGATTATAGAAGGAAATTCCTAATTAAACTCAAACTCCAACTTGAACTCAAACTCCTAATTACATACTCCTAATCGTAACACAACTCCTGTTTAAGATAAGATAACATAACATAAGATAAGATAAGATAAGATAAGATAAGATGGAGTAGCTGGTGGCGAGAGGAGATAAGTGTGGACCCACCCTGATGAGCTGTCGTGTGGGTCCCGCCCTACTGCTGCTGCTGCCGGGCGGCGTGCGCGTCTCATGGTGCTGCTGCCGTGTGGCGCGTGCTGCTGTCGTGCGGTGCGCGCTGCCAGGCGGTATGTGCTGCTGTGCGGCGCTGCCGGGCGGTGTGTGCTGCTGCGCGGCCTGCTGTGCGTGCCGCTGCCTGTGACTGCACCGCAATGCAATGTTAGGCGGTGTGTCCATAACAGTGGGAGATAAAATACCTCAAAAGGCACAACAAACAAACACAGCTTCAAGTCATTTCATATTTATTCTATTCCTTAAGGCTATGTTTGGTTTGAAGGAAAATGTAGGGAAAGGAAGAGAAAGGTAGGGAAACCTTTACAAACCTTGTATCGGTTTCCCTGTCTTTCCCTTCCTTTCCCTACCTTTTCCTTTAAACCAAACATAGCCTAAGTGAAAACTTGCAATATATTTGTAAGCTCTAGGTAGGCTAATCCTAGGCTGCCTTGAAAAACTCAAATGTTAAATGACCAAGAAATTCTAACCCCTCTTTAAAGAAATTAGGAACCAACTTGATCTGAAGAAATCAGAAATTATTAAGCAAATTGTAATTTTACTATAAATGTAGATTATGGGAATTAAAGTAATTCAAATTTTATTAAGAATAGTAAATTTATGGAAATTGATGCTTAAACTTACAACCACCTCCACGGTTTTCCTTCAATTGAATTTCCTATATTAAGGGATTCCTGAGTTGTTCAATTGATTTTTCTAATTATAGCTTTCAGAAAAGAAGAAAGATATTTTTCAAATTATGCCTTTTTAGTATTGTGCAATATAAATGTCTACTTACTGCTTTCTCATTCAATATGTGTGGGATCAAAACACCATCTTTACCCCTTGTAATGAGACAAAACATCTATAAGGAGTTTCCTTTTGTTTTACACGTGTATTTCCACCTTATTTATTAATTTTTGTTAGTTTCATCAACCGACATTGCATTTCTTCTACCAGGATGAAGGTGAAGAGGCATATCTCGAAACATATGATGATGGTAACTCGTCTAATTAGGAGAATAATCAATTTCATGACTAAGTAGAATAATTGGAGACTTCTTTTGACTTCACCGGTAAAAGGATATTCCGAAGGAGAAATGCATTTAGAACTGTATTTTAAGCTTCCATTGTGGTTCCTCAAAGTTTTACAAGTACCTGCAAGAGGGATAAGAAGAGAATTGTAATAGATTAACCTACACAACTTGAGCTCTTACAGTCAGCTTCTTTCTTACATTCGACAACTGTACATGGAGACTGTATGAGTGCAACAGTGAGGTGTGGATCTTTGTAATTTATAATTATATGATGCTCATATTCTTCTAGAAGGGAAGATCTTATATTTCATTCCAAATTTATAATGGTTGGTTTCTGTTTGAGCTCCAGTTCACCTGTTTTCAGGTTTTAGAGTATGTATTTAGGTTCATGGGCAAGTATAACATTAGTTGGTTTTAACAACCCAAGTTGGTTCTCCTTGTAAAGCAGTCATACCTACTTTGGTTTTTGCCTGTGAATCCAATATGGGCCTTTTCCTAAAGAGGTATGAGTCAGTACAATAATATTGGGCTATAACAGTGAATTTTATAGTTGAGTAAATATAACCGCCAGTATAGATCCCTTTTTTTTGCAGTGGTTATACAAAAGCACCGCTATAGGTATAATATTTTTTTTTGGAAAAAGGTAAAGTACTTTATTCATCATATTGAAGAGAGATACAAGACCCAGACTACTAAATCTGCCTGGGCACAATACACATTAGAAGCTCATACAAGACTTAGAGCAAAACAACAGGGGTACATTCTGGACCTCTGGTTTTAAAATTCCTCATTCACCGACACCCAGGAGCATAGCTTCCCCACGGCTCTCTGCACAATTTCATCCGGACTTTTAAATTTACCACAGAAGATTCTGCTATTCCTTTCAGTCCAAATGGACCAAAACACAGCTTCTGGGATGGAACTCCAAACAATCTTTCCTTTCTTGATGAGACCTCAACTCTCCATCGCATCAGCAGCTCCTTCACAGATTTTGGCATGGTCCAGCTAATCTCCAAAACCTTAAGAAAATGCCCCCAGATCACAGACGAAACTGGACAGTGGATGCACAAGTGCTCTGTAGTTTCTGCACTCTTTCCACACAAACCACGAGAGAGATCCAGGATCTGAATACCTCGTCTCTCCACATTAGTCTTGGTCAGACATTTATCAAGGGCCATAGTCCAGACCAGAAAATTGATCTTTGAGGGACTAGTTGGATTCCACACCTGTCTAACAGGGAAATTCTCATGACCTGAACCACACAACTTCAGAAATAGGGATTGGACCGAAAAACTACCATCTGCATTCCACTTCCAAACCCGTTCATCCTCTGAATTTGAATCAATCATCTGATTTTGGAGCAGCCTCAACAACTCCCGATACTCTTCCACCTCCCAGTCAAACAAATTTCTCCTACAAAGAGGAGTCCAAATGATAGAATCACCAGAAATGCTAAAATTTTCAGGAATAGAAGAATCTTGATTCACAGAAATTTGGAAAAGAAGGGGAAAAACATCAGCCAGTGGACCCACTAAACACCAGGGGTCCTTCCAAAATTTGATTCTATCCCCCTTACCAGCTTTAAATCTGATCCCGTCCAGGAAGAGAGGAGTGTTCTTCAAGATACCTGCCCAGAAGGATCTTCCCCCATTAAGATTAGGCTCCTTAGATCTCCAATCACCCCATTCCACACCATATTTAGCTGCAATGAGACTTCTCCACCATGCATTCCTCTGCTATAGGTATAATATAGCGGCAAATGATATAACGGTGGTTATGAAACTGCCACTGTATACCTCTTTTAGCATTGCTTTATCATAACTTTCACTGTAGACAATTGGCAGTCAGATTAAAATAGAAATATTTTATTTTAAGAGTTCAGATTGAGCCATAATCAACAATTCAAATTTAACTTGAATGAAAACAAAAAAGAAGGAACATTGGTATCTCTGACACATTTAACCCTACTCATGAAAGCACAACTCAAGGCCTCAAACAGCAAGGTTTCTGGCTCATCGCAGAAGTTAAAGCAAAATGGGTAAGGGGGAAAAGAGACAGCTGTAACGCCTACACTGCCACCATGGGTTGTATTAGTTGCAGTAAGGGTACCTCTTCATCGGTTCTGTCATAGAAGAGGATTTCCCCTTCTTGGCTGAAGATCTCTGCTCAGGATGTTTTTAGATAACATCTGCAAGTTCACGAAGAAGGGTTCGACTCCTCAGATTGGTGCCATTTCTTCATGATTCTCACATTATTGCTGAGGTCAAAAGCATAACAGGGAGCAAAAGCCTGCATATCCTAAAAGCTCAAGCGTTTGCCCCTGAAATCCCCGAGGATCTGTACCACCTCATCAAGAAGACTGTTGCCTTCTGGAAGCATCTTGAGAGGAACAGGAAAGATAAGGATTCCAAGGTATTATTTTCTTGTGCAAAAAGAAAAAGAAAAATCTTCCATTATTTTTATTAGGGTTTCTATTTGGTTTTTATATTATTGAATCCATCGATATTTTATACTATACTGCTAATGCTTGCATTGGCAGGATTTCCTGAAGAAAATGAAAGCACATAAAGATGAAAATTTGAAATGCTGATCTCCTTTGGCAATCTTAGGGGCTTGCTTGTTGCAATGGTAAAACCTTAAATTATTAGGCTGACAAGTGTGACTGCGAGCACGGGTTTGCATCTTGTGAGCTGCCACTTTGAGTGATGGCCCTTTCTACTTACTGGTTCTGGTGTCGGGTGTTTTTAGTTCTCCCAGACTTGCAACATCCTTATTTTTATGCAACCATTGCATTTTTCTTTTTTCTATTTTCCACCCACATATTACATTATATATTCTCCTTCAAACTTGCTCTTTCTTTCCTTAGGTGGTGAGCCCAGCCATGACAAAAGTGCAGGAAAAGAAAAGGTAAGCAATTTTCATATTCATTGCATTGCAAATTATTGAATGGTAAGAAAAGTTTGTCTTCTTGACTAGTTCTAAATAGAAAGCATTTTGAGTAGAGGAAAAAATTAATTCTTACATTCTTTAGATCCTCATGTAAATGGTTGACCTTCTGCAAAATGCGGCATTCAAATGAATATACTGATTCCATCTCTGAGCTTTCTTCACCACTTTCCACACGATGCACCCTAGAAACAACAACAATAGCAGTAGCAACAACCACAACAACAATTTGAATGCTTTGTACCGTCTGGCATAGGAATCCTGAGGAATGAGAATGGCAATATTATATCCTTATTCTCAGGTCCGGTGGGAATAGGGGATTCCACAAGAGCTGAGTTGTTGGCTGTAGTACAAGGAATTCAGATTGCGAATCAACTAGGAGTGGAGAACCTACTAATTAAAGGGGATTCTAAGGTGATTGTGGGCTGGTTGTGAAATCCAGACTCAGTTGCTTGGAGTTATAGGGATCACATAAAAAAAAGTTAAATGTTTAACAAAGGCACATCTTTTGTAGATACCAGTGGTTGGGTAGGGAGGCAAATACTTTGGCTGATTATCTTGCAAAACAAGGGTCTACTCGGGATTGGTTATTGTGGGCAGCTTTGTAATCTTTTTTCTCTGAACACTTGTAATGTTTAGGGGAGGCTGCATCTCGTGCCTCCCCAAGGGATGCTTGTAAAGTTTTATTCTGATTGATTAATGAACTCAATTTCAACTATCAAAAAAAAAAAAAAAAACAAGAAGCCAGTACTACAAAAGAGAACTCAAATAAAGTAGAACCTCAATGACCCTTGAAAAATTCAATAAAGTTGTTGAGGGCCCGGGAATAGGATCTCGTCACGGGTTGGTCCACGGGGAAAACCTCCTGTTTTCCCTTGTTCCTTCCTGCTCTTGATGAACCTATCTCGGCGCCTCTGGTGATTTGTTCAAGAGATCACCAACTCTCCTTTGCTCTCTTTCTTGACTGAAATTTTCGATATCCTCATTCAATAATGGTGTCTC